AATATTTTATTCATAATCAGCAATTAGAATTCATTATGACTTCATGCCTCTCTTTTATCACCAATATCAAGAGTGCTACCTTCTGCAAACATACTCGAATGAAATTGTTACTACCACTGAAGTCAATGCAGCTAGCAACAAAGCTACCTCACCATTAAGCGATGAGGTAGCATTGTTTTATTCGAACAAATCCGCGAGAAAGAGACGTTTGTCGATACTAACTGAATGCTTATATGATGGTTGATGAATAAATGTTTCCGTTGCCAACCAGCTTTGTTGAATGAATTTGGAAGATAAATAAATGAAAAAATGATCCAAAGAAAATGCAGTGCAACTGTCTAGTTTCCTATCTTCCTACGATGCCAAACAGCTTGCTGTTATGGCATTAGGTTAGTCAAACTATTTGATAATTTGTGATTGCATCATAGAAAAACTTTCGAGAAACGAAAGGAAATGAAACTCCTGATTTATTCGATCATCAGCTGCTGCCATGATTAATCAAATAAAACGTTCAGATGACATCTCTCATGCAGTCGAAATATTTTAAAAAAAAGACCTCTAGGAAAATGTCACCTATGTAGAATACGAGTTGGATGAATAAGTGGAGCTGCGAAACCTTCTTTCTAACATTAAAAAACTCTCAGTGATGCAAAATGATAGCTCAGTAAATATCTTATAAAACTGTTTTACCCTATAAAAGACGTATGATCTGAAAATTATGAAGTGAATTTGCTTTTTTGCTTGTTACCTTACATTCATCATCCAAACTTTAATGAAAGGAGATTTTTTTGGACTGGTGGGGGGGGGGGGGGGGGGGAGGGTGGTACAACTGGAAATATTTATTTTTACACGAAATGGGACATTACGATTCGTTTGAGAGGGACGCGAAAAGCGCTCAAAATTCGTTACGATTGATTGTTCGAACAATTTTGTCAGAATTCAAGGCAGCTCATCATGTCATCGAAGACAACAACAATCTTTCAGCATTGCAAAACGCATTCATTTATAATCGAAGACTGATCTATCGTTACATTTAACTCTTAAGAACATGAAACATATTCAATCTCAGAGTCGTTCTATCATTAGTCTTCTCCAAAGATTTATTGTGCACTAAAAACATTCGGAAAGGCTTAGAAGCCCATTTCGGTGCATACAATTTTCAATTTGAAGCCATTGTAACAACACACAATCAATGCTTAAAGACTTCGTTTGATAGGAACGCTGCTAACAACTTAATATTATATCATCAAAAGAATAAGCGTTAGTGAGTTTTGAGCTACATTTCAAAAAAGATCAACATCTAGACATATATAATTAATATGTGTAGACATATATAATTAATTAATAAGTGAAAGTCATTCTTTAGAGGCTGATAAAACGATAGACAGACGCGTAGATTGATGGAACATGATAGATGAGTCAGTCAAAATCGATACCGAGTAATGAGCGATTATGGCTTCATTCAGATACTTTATTATAAGAATGCCAAATATCAATAATTATTTAACGACAATTTGAAACTGATGTCAGGGATGCTCTTGTGATGATAATGTGGTTAATTAGAGTGAGATTTCGAGAACTTTTGTGTGGATATTCACTTTGCAATCCTGACTTTGTTTGGGTAACTAAAATTCGAATGATATATATGAAGATTTCAGTTAGATGCTTTACATCCGTTTATTTGAATCAGTTCATTAAAATTAGTCCACTTCAACAAAATCGCATATTTAACAAATTCTGAATGCGCTAACCGTTTATTATTCGAGTCTTTATAGTGCTGGATCACTTCAGTGGGATGCAACTTTACCATGATGTACCCTCTGTTCATAACCATTTCAAGAAGCATTACACTTTGAGTGTGCAAATGATTGAATCATGGTTACAAGAATCTTATTCAGAAGTAAATCGTGCTGTTCAATGCGATATGTTACTCACAGGTGCGCAGATGATAAGTTGCTTGCTGCATTATGTGATACTGCTGATCCATGGCATCAATCATCGCATTTCTTTATCAACTAATTTGAATCATCTGAAGCGATAAAATCAACCGATAATAAGGTCGCTTGTGTTCAGCTGAATTAACACTCGATCGTACTTATTTCTCGATGAGATTATTTCCTGCACCTTTCACGCCCCTCCAGAACATTATTTAGCGTCGATATTTTCCGAGTTCTCTGTAGCATCGTCGTACTCTTTGTTCTTTCATACACAGCATACCGTTCTCAAAAATAACTGTTAAAAACTCTTGCATAATGCTTAGAGTAGTACTGTGCGGGGAGAGAAAAATAAGTCGGGGACGGGGAGTGTCCTCGAAAATGGCCGCCGCTCGAAAATGGTCGCGGACGGGGACCCCGAATTCGGGGACTCCCCGCACAATTCGGGACACAGCTTAGAGCTCAATCAGAGGTAAATTTTCATTCGAAGGTATTTTCGCCGTTCTAGATTCCGCAGAGAGCGATAACAGCTACAAATTATTGTTTTGTTTGTTATCAAATAGTCTAGAAATCCCGTTTTCGGAATACATTTTTCTGTGCCAATTAAACCAGGTTCATCACTGTGACGAAGTAGATAATACATTCAAATCTGTTTTTTTTTTTGGTACGATGCGGTTTATATAGTCAAATTCGGTGTTTTTTGGTAGCACCTAAATGAATGGATTTCTGAGAGGAGCTGTCTGAATGCATAGAACGAGTATGTTGAGCAAGATGTTTACGGATTATTGCAATTTGAAAGTTTTTCACGACGAAGTGATTAATAATCGTTTGAATGTTAACACAACGATTTTGTCACTTGTCAATATCCACCAAATAAATTGTAGTGTTGTGAAGTATTTTACACAAATGAGTAGTGTTCAGAGTGGTGACAGGACAATAATTCGGAGAAGATGAGTACAAGAAGTTTCTCTGCGGTTTATAGTTTCTCTCTGACTTATGTGAACATTTACTATCGTTGATAAAGTGGATCTTTTTAAAAAGCTGAATGAACAGTAAGTGGGTTGTGCATCAGTGAAATTAGTATTTTGAATTAAGACGCACTAAAAAGTGACTTTTAATTAAATCAACAACGCAACAATTCTTAATGGCTGACAACTTTAAGCAAGCAACTAGTTTAAGTTAGTTGGGTATTTGAGCGATTGAAACTTGAATAGTTAATTATAAGCCTGCAAGTGTTTATAATTTCAAATCTTTTTTTCGCATCGTTATTACGTCGATCGAGGAATCGATTCATTCAAATAAAATTTCGACAGTGGATTGTGTTGCGTCTATGGAACAGACATCGTAAAATATTGAAAACGAAAAGTTCGGCTTTTTCGTTTCTGTACACTGCAAAGTGTTGGAGAAATGTTCACAGCAATTTAGCCATCCATTCTAAGAGTTCATCTATCCAACTTTGTATCGCCTGAAAATAACATTGAGTTTTTGGCACATAGTCGCTCGCCGAGCCTCCTTAGTACGCTCAGGAAAACAACTGAAAGAATAGTTGCTTGGGAACCTTACTGTGATCGTCACTGTTTGAGGAATTTTTATTCCACATTTTTGAGAGTTTTTTCAATGAATAATATTGACTGACAATACCTCCAAAAATTTCTTTAGAAAGAAAAAGCGTATATTTTGTTTAAGGTATTTTAGAGCACAAAACTTTTCCGTTGCAATTTAGCTCCTACCTCACCGGATCATTTCGTAAATTAAGTACGTTTATTTCATATTGATTTGAATAAGGGAAGGAAAACAGAAACCTTCAACTTATCGGTAGATTTATGACATTATTGGAACCTGTGGATCATCCTTATTTAAAACTATAGTTAAAGTAGATTAAAAGCCCATTTTCATTGATTTAAGCATTTCGTCACATCATTTCAGAATCCTCGTTTAAAACTACAATTACAATAGAGTAAAAGCCAATTTCTAATTAATTTAAACATTTCTTTATGATAATGATTACGTCACATCAGTTCACATGACAACTCTTCATTCATATTTGTATATATGACACGCACGTTATGTACAAGCGTAAGTTAGCCACATGTATAGCTATATTCATTTCATTTCTATATTCATAATTTGTTCGCTACATTTGCAATTTACTATAAAAACCGTAATTGCTAAGTTCCACGCAATTTATAAACGATGGATCACTAAAGATAACAGCTTGATGTTTTTTGAATTCTGATGTACCGAGAAATGTATACAACTAGTTTATCTTGAAAAGAGAGTATTAGCATTCGAAACATTTTCTTTCAACAACATTTGCTCCTTCTGAAAGTTGTCGCATATTCCATTTGAAAATGTTCCTAACAAAAAAATAAAAATTGATTTTTTGCCTCTAACGTTGAAAAGTGAGAAAGATATTGAACAAAACTAAACGAAATACAGCTCGCTCTGGCGTGTCAGATATCGGATATGTTTGATTCGCACTGTTATCTATTTCATGACATGTCAAAATTAATTTCATTTTCGCAGTTTACTCTGTAGAAAGATCTTTTATGGCAACCAACTAAAACTTCACCTTGAGGCGTAGTTACGGAGTTGACGTATGAACTGCTAAAGAATGTGTCGCGTGATCAGATGAGATGCAGTACGATTTGTTCTCGAATCTATAGTTCACTAACGTTGTGCTATCCATATAAAATTGAACGGAATGTTAGAGAAACCTGGGGAGATTGTGTCAACAGTTTTGACTAGTTGTAATATTCAGTAAACTATTACAGAGGAAAAAGAAGTGATCTCGACAAAGAAACTTATCTCATTCAGTAGCGTATCAAAATCAACCAGCATTTTAAAGTGACATCGCTTGAGATCTCTTCATCACTGTTAAAATATGAAAAGTATTTATTTGAATTTACCACATTCATCGTGAGACTACGGTTCATATTGCATAAGCGCTTCATTGAAATTACTGGACTCATGGTGACAAATCAAGAATCAACTTCAGATGAAAGCGCTTGAAGCAAGCAGTCAGTCAATTTATAATTGATTGTTGATCGTTTGCAGTGGACGTCAATGAACCTATTTCTGACGAATTTAGCGCTATCAGATCTACTTGTTTTGCTCATTTGCCTTCCACCAACCGTCGTGAATGATATCACAAAAACATTTTGGTTCAGTTCATCAGTATGCAAGGCTATTGTATTCTTCCAGGTACAACAATACTTATCATATTTCACATATATTCATCAAATCCTTTTCAAATTCAAACGAAGTCATCGGCACAAAATAAAATAAAATGAAATAAAACTTATATGCCGTACATATATTTTATCACTGCTGTAAGCTTAGACTGTTTCGATTTCTCTGTAAATATCTATTCGATGAAAGCACATTTCATTTCAGTGTTCCAACAGCTATTTATCAAGCAGAATGCCACACCACATAACGACAGCCTTTGCACTGTGTACATTATGATTAGGGAACATTTAAGAAAATAAGCATATTTTGAGGATGTATTGAATGTTGATCGTCATCTTGAGTTCAGTACATGAAATCAGTATGGTGATTGAATTTTCAGAATACAAGTGTTTACGTGAATATTCTAACGTTGGTATGCATATCCGTTGAACGATGGAAAGCCGTTACATCGCCTTTACGAAATCCATTGTGGAACACTCAACGAGCAATCGTATTTATTTGGATTACTGCTATGCTGTTATCCTTACCAGAACCGTTGACCATATCCACATATCCAGCTGTTTTTGAAAGGCCCAATTTTACCACCACGGTATTTTTAGTTTATTATTCAACTGTGTGATTGAATTGTTCCATCAATCGGCACGAGAATGCGACTGGAAAGAATTTCAAGACAATGCGAGACTCTCGAATATCCAGCTGATACCAAAAATTTCTGAAGCTTATTCTAGCCTCATTTTCTCTCAATATAGATTTTTAAAACCAGAAGTTAATTTCGAGTCACAGTCCCTCGACTACTGCGGGTTTATTATCATATTTAGACACGTATTAATCACAACTCTATCTAATCACTGGAAGGTGTTATAACAGATTTTGTTGACGTAGTTGTCTCAACGTTTGATGATAGTCAGAGTGTTGGCCATACAACTTACGACAGTGATTGATTTAGGTTTAAGTGATAAGAAATGTACCAATTCGAGATTTTTGACGAAATCATCCATATAAAATGTGAGAGGGCACAATGCTATCTGAACTCAATGGTGCTGCTTTTTTGCAACATCATCTCAGCCGCTTGTTCCTTTCATCTTCTAATAGAGGCGACCGAAGCAACATGAATGTAGGGAATTTATTAGGTTATAAGCTAGCGTAATTCTTTTTTATTTATTTAAAGAAGGTGGGATTGTTGGAGTTGAGCGATGACTGATTGGTAGCGATTAAAATGAATTGGGAAATTATCGAGGATTTCTTATATTTTTTTATTGAACTACATACAGGTATTCAATTGCAGTAATATTCCATTCAAAATTTAACCAATTGAAAAAAAACTGAAAATGCAGAATGAATTCGATGATGGCAGTACTGACTGACTGTTTTTAGAATACCTGATTATTTCTCTCAAATATTTCGTCTACTTATTTCTGTTAATCGAGAGAATCACTTACATTTTAATGTTAAAGTGTATCGTTTGAATGCGGGACAAAATTACCGCATAACAGCAAACCAATAACACTCCTGTTATGTGTTAGTCATCATAATCTCAACAAGAAACATAATTCCATTTTATTTACTGTATCGAATTCTAACAATAAAGTGATCCAACAACAGCAAATGCCATTCAGTTAGAAAATAAAATTCAAAAGCAATGAGATACGTTTATCGCCTAGAATCGTATCTTTTTCAACGAAAACAAATCTGTGAAGTTACCTTACGTTGGAATATGTTGTGCGCATTTTCGGACTTGTTGATGAATTGGTATATTCGTTTACGCTTCCTTAATTCTCATGCCTTTCATGTATGTAACTTTCCATGTTTTGTTGTCATGCTTGTTGGTGAAAAGTGCGTGTCTTCAGTTTCACATATGCAATGGAAACAAAACTAGCAAGCAAGTTTTGTTCCGTAGCAAAATGTTGAAAATTTATTCTTGGTTATCGAATCAATTTGCGACTACCGAAAATTCAGAACTGCCATTCAATGGCATAAACTTACTGCTCTAGTTGATATGTAAACTCATAGTTGATAAATGCGCGATCGAAAAGTTTATGACAGCAATAACCTCGTCTAAATACCTACGCAAAAACTTCAAATGAGAATATACATACGAAAGAATCCATGAGTTCTCTTTCTGTGTACGTGCCACTTCCTAAACCTATAACATCAAAGCATTTTCCACTAATCCATTTCAGAAATATTCATCCTTTTTTCATGAAAAAACAAAACAAGAATACCGATCCGAGTTGATGAGGATTTATGCGATTTTGATTTTGTTACGAATTCGGTTTCGATTGAAATTACGTCAACGGCTAATTGTTGAAGAATGCGCGCTTATAAATTCATTTCATCTGCAGAACATAATTGAATTTCATTCATGAGTTTGTTTGATATTACTGTATATGATGCGACATGAACAAACTTGAGGCGAAATCACAATCAGATTTAAGAAGTGAGCAATTTTGCGAACATTTCTGGTATTTCAGACTGACATTCAATATTATTAGTTGCAAGTTCGATTCTCGACAGAAATTTCATTTGGGAACGAATATTTCGGCAAAAGTATGAGTATAAATTGAAAAAGAAAGATTCCGAAGATTTTCTTTAAAATAGCATAAAATGCTAATGAATATCGATGGTTCTTTCGCTCACTCGCCCAGCGTTTCCTTTTAACGATATGATAGGCCTCGATTGTCCTCGAAGCGATTGCTGACCCGTCCCGCTAACTTTTTGATAACCTGTCAAATTTTAGCAATAAATCCGAAGAGAATCTGGCAGTTCATCTAATGATCATGAAATCTGCTGTAAGGAATTTGTCTATTAGGTAGACAAACCCAATTCCTTCATTTGAAAACGTTACTGAACAGCAATGGAAAAATTATGAAAAAAATCAGTCAGCGTTAATTTATCAACCTCTTCATTTCTGAATCATTGATATAAACATACAAATGCTGTTTTTAAAGATAAATAATCATCCAATTCGATCATTCTTTTTGGTACACTTCAGTGTAATATAAACATTGTTCATATAATCAAAAGTTAGACAGATTAAAAGAGCAATTGACGTATCTAGTATTATAAGTGCTAAATGAGATACTAGCCTTAGAGATGTACTTCAATGATGTTTTCTTCTGTTTTTGAAGGGATGCAATAATACTGATGGAGGTTACGTGCACCAAGAAACGTATTATTTCTGCAATATCTAATCTAATCAGCCTTTAATTCCAGTGGGGTACTTCATGCAAGGAGAGTTGGTCAGAGTATACACAGCGATGCTATCAATTAGTGCAAACGATCGCACTCTTTCTGTTACCTTTAATGTTGATCACTGCACTGTGTGCACATATGACCTTTATCCTCTCCACCAATATGCTCTCACTTGGTGAACGTCAAATTTCGCACAGGTGAAATCATTTTCTCATTTCATGCTCCAGTCTGACCATGAACACTGACTTTTCACTCACTCAAACTTTCATCTGAGCGCTGCACAGTGATGTGCTAGTACCGAAAAGCACTGTACTTTTTTTATGATATCTTTATGAAGGTGAGTAAAGCGTTGTAAGAAAATAAAACTGCAGAACAGGTGCAGGTGCATTAAGAGCAAATTACTAATAATTAGACCTGTATTTTAATGTAAGGAGCAGGTACGGTATTGTGTCAGTTTCCCGATGTAGAGACACAGTAACGATAAGTTCTCGAAAGATGGTATGAGTATAATGTATAATGTACCACGAACTTCATAACAACGACATTATTGATGCTTTGTCTTCAGTTTGTTTTATCGATGAGATGCACCGCTGAAATTTGATGAAATTTTCAGGAAGAAAGCGACAAAAATGCTCATAATGGTTGTCGTATTGTTTTCGTTGTGTTACTTTCCTGTACACTTGCACAACATTTCCTCGTAAGTCCTCTTTGAATACTGCTTGATTGGAATACGTGATATGAATATGAATACATCGCAAATACTATTTACATATCGATTCGACGTTTCATCGTGAGCGCCCAACAAAGCCAGCATTGAAATAGGAAGGAAAAATTCTGCGTGCATGGACCGATGACATCGGAAATTTAACAAAAATTTAACAACGCATATATTTTGCCAACCTTCGCGAAGTTCAGTTAAATTAAACTGGAACGAAAGTGACACACGTCATTTGGCACATTCATAAACTTTCTTCCACACATTAGCAATGAAACTATTAAATGTTTATTTTTACATCCGCTTTCAACTGTCCCGTTTTCAGAGCGTTCAATTTCGATCCTTTCGCCGATTTTTACACCGATCGTATAGTGCTAGCACTACGTAAATTTGTACCACGTTTTATGAGTTATTCATCTTGTTGCGTTAATCCGATTCTGTACAATTTCATGTCAGGTGAGCGTTTTCAACGCATTTTAATGCGATCATCTTAGCAATAAGATTTATTCAATCATCTCAAAGAATCACAAAAAAAGAAGAAATAAGCAAATGAACCGTATTCAAAGGATGTGGTGTAAAAGAGAACTAAAGTAAGCAACACAAATCGTGCACGGAATAACAAATCGAGAGTAATATGGGAAACAACAATCAATAACGATAATAATAACACACAAAAATGCATAAATAACTGTAGAACACAACCAAATAGCGGCACTGACACTGATTCAATTATATGAATACAACAAGAAGCATAAAAACAAAGCAATGCTCCAGAAGCAATGTTCCTTATCACTTGCAATCCTCAACTCGTATTGGATTTCAATTACTGCAATGAATGATTAAAGCGATACAAATATTCACAATATGCTCTATATAATAAACAATTGCGTTTATATGAAAATTCATCCCTTGGATCGATCATTCAAAAATACTGCGATGAACCTCATCTGGGCATTTCGTATGCAACTGGCAATATTAGTCTCATATCAAGAACAGCATTACACGTAGAAAAGATTATGTCTCTTCAGAGAAACGAATCATAAATGATGACTGATAAAAGGATGCTTTTAATCAGAGTGCAATCACAACATAAGTATAACTTTACAGTAGTATATAGAAAACAAAAATTCATTACATTAACGAATATAGAGATGCAGTGAGTTCGAAAATTACACGAAATTAATGAAAAAAGAGCTCGAGGATGAAAAACTAAACAATACAACAACGTACAAAATCAGTAAAAGCGATCGCATGAAAACGAACAATTAAATTATAGTATACGCAAAACGCGCAGACGCTCATATGTTTCAATAGCAATTAGATTCAGTGAAACTTTGCTACATCTTCACTTTCGTTCCTCTTTCATGAATTGAAAAACCCATAAAAACGTTTACCAACAACAATGATATTAAACATCCTTTGAGCAGTTATCTTAATGAACAATTAATTGCAACGCGCATTCTTAGATAATATTTATGAACATCTAGAAATGTGTTTACGAAAACTTCGATACTATCAAATGATGTGTCGAATGACCCATTGTGGAGAACATAATTTGAGAGTGCGATATTTATTGCAGAGAAATTCCGAAAGGAGTTCGTTCAAGTTTGCTATCCACGAGCGATGCTTCGTTGGCAGAGTACGCTACGTTCACGTCGATACAGTACCGTTAATGCTCAAACAATTTGTTGAATGTGTTATTTTTGTGTAACAGTAGCAGCATATAGGCAAATGTTGCAGTGATATGTATAAGTGTGAGATGGAATATGGAATCGAGTTAAATTCAAATTTGCGCACTCTTTTTGATACTCAAGTTAAGTGGTTGCTCATCGCAAGGTATGAAATCAAATGAGAATGCTGCAGTACGATGACGATGTGCAGTTGGTATACAACGAGAAGGTGGTTTCTCGAGAAGAGTTGCGATCGCACGATGTCGATCGACGAATGAGGAACGAAGCGATGAGTGCTGCTGAGGTGATGATGTCGCCTGACGCATTTGTGCTGACGAATTGCAATTGCAATAATAACCGCCATCGGATGAGCATGACGACATCAATGCGCTATTTTCCAAACTTACAGCTACCGCTGCAGCTGTTGGTGACACATCTGCAGCACTCACAACTTTTGAACTGTTCTCATCTATCGAAGAGCCGATTGATGAATTGGAACATTGCGACCGTGACGAATAATCGGCTGCAGTCGAAATTGACGTGAAACGAATTGCTTGCAGTTTTTCTTGATGTAGCGTATGTAGCGTTCGTAGATCAGTCAATGCAGCCAAAACAACTTGAATAGATGATGAAGTATTGTTTGCTGGTGCTACAGTTATTGACGATGATGAAAGCGATTGATGTAGTAAGCATGAGAGACGTTCATGGAGATTTTCAGCCAACGAAGGTTGTTGTAAGGAGATCCCTTCCGGATGACAGATTGCTAGTGCACATAGTAAACCGAGTTGTCGTTCACTCAGTGCCGACTGTCGGAATCGCTGGACAAAATCGATCAGAGAGTCTGTAAAGAAACGACCAGATTCACCAGAAACTCGTCCACTCAACAAAAATGATGAAGCGACGGAAGCACAGAAACGTGTTGGTAACATTGCGAGCAGTACCGCTTGGAAAACCGAACCCTGCAAAAAATAAACATTGATTGACATCATGGGTTAGGTAAACATTGACATCATTGTGGCTTAGGTGATTATTACTTCTTATTTATATACAAACAATTTTTGTATGGAAAAAATGAAACTCTGAATAGTGCAAGTCCACCCTCAGAGAAATACACTTCTTAGCCTCAAAATAGAGTAGGTAAAAATTCGCCCAAAAAAATGAACTCAACAGACTACCTAGTTAAATTTTTTCCGCTTTAAATGCCGAAGTGCACGAATTTCAATTTTCGAAAAAAAATTGGGCTGAGAGGTTGCGCCATTCATGGTGTGCACTTAGGCGCCTTGGGCAAAAAACACTGTAACCCAGCGACATTTCAGACTGATCTTTTTGAAGCAAACTTCCATATAGGTTGATTTCAAACCAACAGAAATCATCTTATGGGAGTAGTAAGACTTTGGAATCTTCAAAATCTGAAAATCGTGAACTATGGCATCTCTGGCGAAAATCAAGCCGACCCAGTCATCTCTCATATTGATTTTTTTGATGCTAATTTTCCATATATGTTGTTTCACCAAACTGTATATTTCTCTGAGCTATGATCCCAGAAATTCCGAAATTCGAAAAAATCTGTCACTATAATACATGTACATTTCATATTTTCAACGTACGACAATTAATCATTTTAAAAAATTTGTTATTTTCCACTCGTTCTACTTTTGAACAGTTTCTTTAATAAAATTTCAAATGAGTAATTCAGAAATCTATTGCATAGCAAATTCGCTGTTTCAAAGACTCAGAAAGAAAGAAGAAACCCACTGTTTTGATCTTAATTTTGTGTTACTTGCTATTCAAAAGTAAAATTATGCATAAATATCCCATAATTGATGACTCAAATGACCACACACAGAGTCAGTGATAAAGAATTATAACATGGTTGTTCCTCTAAATGTTTTTCCTTACTGTTTCTTCAGTGCATTGAGTTACAGTCCCTTGACGAAAACTGGATAACGGTACACTATCGTAAATGGTCAAGCAATATCACGAAAAAATGATATAGGAATTTGGTACGATCGAACTTTTACCTTCAGTAACTGTACACGATCTTGTTGAAATATCAAATGAAATCCGGGAATCGATGTTGAAAAGTCAACAACAGCTTTCAGTATTGGTAAATAACTGTTCGATCTGCAACAAAACATGTCAAAGAAATGCAATAATGCAACTCTTTTCAACAGCAACTATGGAAGAGGGAATGAATGATGGGTATACATTTGGTTTTATTACAACTTGATACCGTTCTATGTATCCAATATGTTCTATGTATTTGAAATGGTTCTGTTTCGTTCAAATAATTCCCACATTAACTCTGGTGATTAATAGAACTTGTTACGTTGCAAAATTACACACAGTAACTTGACTGAGTGGATAAATGAAAGCGACAGATGAAGTATGTAGGATGATGGGCACATCACCGTCTGGAGTTGCTCCTACCTGAATGGACATCGTAAATCCGATTGATAGCTGTTGTTTGTGGTAGTTGCAGTCGCACTAGTGATCGCATAATTCTGGACCGACTGAGCTAGTATACTGAAGGCGTTATCGCATGCCTCAATCATCACCTGCTCGTCTTCCATCTCGGCGCATAATGCATCGAGTAATGAACGTACTGATGTACGAGCCATCTCCTCCACCATACGTGCCTTCTCACGTTTCGGTACTCGTCCAAATCGTACAGCTGAATGCAGTCATCCAATTATTTTTTCGAATACCTCAAAATGAATAAATGACTGAACTGATACAAGATGAAGCTGAAAGGGTCAACGCAATTACTTCATTAGTGACACAAGCTGAGGGTTTTGTGTGGAACACATACTTCTCTCTTATAAAATGAGATGCTTTCCATCATTACCGCGCATCATTATCACCACACTCCTCTTTCATCATCCATCAATTACACCCAGCGTTGAGAGGTAATGAGAATCTCAAAATTCAAGCATGCTTAATATTGGTGGAAAAGCTTAGAATATCATTCACACTTTCAAACCGTTAGCATCTAGTGCTTTTCCTCATCAAATATCTATCACCTGGCTGAACAGTCCCCATCTTTCACACTGCACTCATTCATAAACTAACTTATTTGTGTGTTCTGTTGCATGCTTCATTTATACGATATCAACAACATAAATTAAATAAATTAACGGCGAAAACGAAACAATGAAATTACCGTTCGGTGAATACTCCCATAAAAATCAAAACTTTCAAATTAAGGAGGATAAGCTGAATGAAAATTAATTGCTGTTTATGCGTGCATTTAGATGCGTATATAATTATAAGTATATAATTAATAACGCGTACGTCTAGGTAGATGATAAAAACTCTTATCATTAAAATAAGTAATGTGCATTGCAATGTGACATTCACATACCGTGTGTCTCAATCTCAATTCAGCATCAGCGTTAAAATAAGTTTTTTTTTTAATGCATCAAATCGAAGAATGATTGAATCATCGTCGAAAAGAAAGTGAAAATAGCGGAATGAGACGAGTGCCAAGGCCATATAACCATCACCACCACACAATTACGGTCGTCGTTGCAAGCCAACGAACATATGCATATACACACATAAACGCACATTCGATGGCGTTCCTTCCAGTTGAATGCAACAAATTCACTGCTTGATTATTGCTTACTTGCTCACCTGCCCTCCAATCCGCATACCCCAATTTCTTACAGTACGAAACGTCATGTCCTCTTGTTCTCAACAACCCGTTACACTCGATCGGTTACCTAATTTGCCATTCTCTTTCATCAATCGCCATTATTTACTTCGATCTCACTTCAAGTATGTGACTGTCCGAATCGTTGAACAATCAAAGGATTAAATATGTTAATTCAAGTTAAAAAGCAATTACACTTCATGACAATATTATCATGTACTTATGATGAGAAACAAACACCGATGATATCAATACAATATTGCTACTGTCACAATTTATAGAAGTCTACTCTATCAACACTGAACATAACAATCTTTTTTTTCACGAGCTTCAAATATCATTCACACTTTCTGACTAACAACAAGCGCTATTGTAAGATTAAAAAACAACTGAAAATGATTTGAGAGATCTACGGCATTAAAAGATTTTTCGCTCCTCTTCACAGAATGATAATAATAATAGTAATAATAATAATGATATAGAGTGAGAGTGTTTATAAATCATCTATCTATACTGAAAGTGTCGAATTAACTTCACAGCTGAAACATCAATGTATGCATCAGATCATCAATCATAAAAAGCTATTGTTTATTTAGAACTGAATTCGCTAAGTGATAAAGGACGAACGAACTGGGTGAGTGATTCAGTACTTGAATGAATCACAATGACATAATTTCAATGAAACTGAACACAAAAAGCAAATTGGTGATATAAACAAGATAAGCAACAGAAATGCAACCAATAAAGCAGCAAGACCAATAATAATGATATGAAAAGAAGACGTATATCTAGTTGATTCAATTCTGATAAACTCTATTCGAACCAAATCTCAAATTTAATTGATCGCAAAATATTTCGCTTATTCACATAACAATGAAACGTAATATTCATCGAAAATTTAACAGCTACTGACGGCGAAATATACTGAATGTGGTTTGAACGAATATTTACGAATTTTCATTCGCTCGACAAAATAATACTATTTCACTACCGCTGAACTTTATTATCACTGCTCGGCTGTTCAGTCCTTAATGAGAGAATGTTTCATTAATCATTCAACTCTGAACTATCTTTTCAATTTGAATGAAGACAATGCTTCTTTCCTGAATAAAACTGATGTTAGTGCGATTTGAGCTGAACTCGTTGATGAAAGTGATTGTTCTTTGAGGACATATCACTGTATACCACTGCTGAGAGAAATTTTCACATCCACGATGAAAGAAGACAGTTACCTTGCAACTAATTTTGAATGAGAACGCAAAAAGGTGATATGCGAGATAAAAAGGCGATTGATTGCATACAGTGATACCTAAACGAAAAGCATACGGACGAACATAATACCAGCAATGAATTGACTATCAATGTTTCAGATAATATTTATCACTATTGTTTTCAGCTGATCCATTCTATACTATCCTGCTAATGGTGTAATTCGATAACAATGCATCAACTGTTCTGTGCCAAACAGAACCACTGTAACTGCAAAAAAATAAAAACACTGTGAGAGAAGAAATTTTGCAGTTTGGACAAGTGAATCTGGATAAAACTGAAGCAAATAAATAACAACAAACCATCTCGAGACATCCCGACTGCAATGCACTTTTTCAAACGGCAATATTGACATCGGTTCCGGTTGTTTCTTGCGATTGCACACTGTTGACTCTTAGTACATGGTCTGTATTGAATTTTTTGTTGAATCGAACGACGGAAGAAGCCCTTTAAAAGAATAGAAATTAACGCTTTGTTCAGTTTTATGAGGATGACATTCTAGATTTGTATTTTCCATAGAAGCACGATACGCTCATCTCTAACAATAAAACCTAAACAAAGTACAACGAATCAGAAAACCAAATAGAGTATTTCCAAATGATGAAATCCGAAACAATGTTAATCAAGCAAGTAGAATTACACGAATAAGCGTAATTATGAACTGTAATACTCAATCACTGACTTATTTGAATTGTTCGAAAGATCAATCAAATCTACAATCTTGCTGTGCAATGCCCATCCAGATTAAAGAATCTGATTCGATCAATCATTCATAGGAAAGTTTTACAATGAAATGTAACAATTTACTTGAGCGGTTTCTAATGAATCACCAAATGTTAATCACAACTGATGACAATGAAACTAAACGGCGGTTTGCTTAATCGTGCACAGAAAAACACCTCTTCTCTATTCTATTCTGTTACTGACAGAGATGACAGGATTCATTGGCGTGAAATGAAACGAAATATAAACAAATCAATTTCGGATCATTTTTGCTTCAAAAAATTGATCATCATCACTATCATTGATGAAGTTTCATCCGAAAAAATGCACTTAAAACGAATGATTGCTTATGATCAACAGAGATGTATATTTTGTGTACAATAAAACAAGTCAAGGCTACCTGTGTGCAAAAATATTCTATGAAAAGAATCAATTAATGGGATACGAAATGAATCAAGCACACAACTGTTGATTTCATATAAGGTAAGGTCTGTCTATTTTGCATTTTATTCAATCGCTCCTCATCGTAAACTTATTTTTCTTGCTGGTGAAAAATTCAGTGAAATTCTCCATCATCGAACCAAGAGAAAAGTCTTTGCTAATCGTAAGAGGACAGGGCATAAAATGATTTCACTATGACATGAAAATGTTCACCATCGTTCGAGGTCAAACGAATGTCCTCTTCGGGAAAATCAATTCGAACGAATATAATGCTGAAGCAACCATGATGTGTCTCAACTGAACGTTGTTTCATGATATGTTGCTGTCACTTAATTGGCAATATGAAGTATGCTACTATTGTAAATGATAGTTATAAAACGGTGAAAACTTTTTATTCGGTTATGAGGACACTAATTATTGGACTACGCCCGCACAATTGACCATTTATTTGTGGGTGCTAGGTGAAGCTGAAGTTGCTACCTTGCATCCCTCGCATGCGAACACACCATAATGGAAGCCGGAGGCACGATCGGAACATACTTGACAAAGAAGAGTAGTAGCACCACCAGTTGTACTGTTATTATCTGAACCTGAAATGTGAAATTGGAAAAAGGATTTGTGTTTGTCGGGGTTTTATGTGTGTTGATTATTATTATTTATGAATGAATGAAACGAGAGAATTATAATCGAATACGTGCGGATAGACGGATGCGGATGAGACAGGTAACGAGACAAGATGAAATAGGTAGGTACATTGAAGGTGCACGGTGACCTTGAACGGCAGGAAGGAAACGCAAAAACACGTTACTTATCTACTTTCTATTGCTGTCTTTCAATCTATCGCTGAATGAAATGGAGGCGAGCGGCTGACCTGGATTGATAGGCGTGCAGGTCGCAAGGTCACATGCTGCGTGCGCCATTCATTCTCCCTTTGCTGACAGCCCCTTCCTTACCTTGAAACACAACCCCGTTTTCGCATCCGTTCACAATTTGCATTCCCTTTTAGCATGGCATTAACAACAATTATGATCAAGTTTCACTCATCTCTGCTACATTTCACCTATACCAATAAACCAGTTATTAATAAAACCGTATCGTTTAATGCAGACGAAAAGAAGAGAAAGTAACAATAATTCTAGAAACCTGGAACGACAAGCAAGAAATTGGAAACATTCAAAAATGGATGGAAAGGCATTGAAACAGAAGAAGTAAAAAGAATAGAGGACTAACTGTCAGTGCAAGCTGGAGCTGAACTTCGATCAGGACTGGACTTGCCATCGCTCGGAACAATCAACGAATTAAGAGCCGAAACGAAGAATGAATCCGAAGTGGTGGGTAGAATAGGCTTGAATGCAGATAATGAACCAGCACTTAATAATGTTGATGGTGATAATGAAGGCAAAGGCATTGATGTGGGTGATACGCGACGTAAAGTAGCCACTGGCCGAGGGGGAACTCCCGAGACAAGCATTAGATCAGAGACAGACAAGCTTTATTAATTAATTAAGGGTACAGATGATGTGAGAATGAGATGAAGAAGACGACCGTGAAACAGGCGTTATTCAACAGTCAACTGGTTCGAAAACGAAAGCGCTCTGTGGGCTGTGGGTTCGCTCGGCTCAATTGGTGGTTGCATACAAGGTCGATTATATTGCTGCTGCTACTACTGCTGACTTTTTGTCTTTTTCTCTCATATTCTCTTCATTCGATGAGAGCAGAGCGGGTCGAGGTCGTTCCAAAATTCCCTTTTACAAACTCGGTCCTCATTAAACGTAACAACCGAAATGAAATTACCAAAAGACACACCTCCCTCATTGAGTAATGATAACAGCCATTCATATCTAACTATCACTTAATAATGATGCCGTATCAAAACACAGTTACAATCCTTGATCATCATCTAAACTATCGTCGTCAATTAAACTTAAACCCTGTTCACAATCCAATGGCGAGGATGATGATACCACATCTACATCAACTTTCATATCTGATGTAGAACGTAAGAAAGCAGCACCGATAAACGAGATCGTTATCGGTACTGCAGCAATCAGCTGTATCACTGACGGCGGTTGAGCATGGAATACCGTATCAGCGAGTAGCGATAAAGGTATCGACATTGATAGAGATATTGAGGCAGCCAATGAGCTTGTTAGACCGGTTGCTTGCAGCCATAGGTAATCGCTGAATACCGTACCAACAATACCGTTCAACATCAGCATTGATAATTGCTTGCCATCCGGTAATGGAAACAACTTCTCGATTGATGCATAATCTAACCAAAGTAATAATGGAGAATAGACGGTTATTGTGAGAACACCAACCATGCCTGCAATTGAATCGCTTCGAGCCATTAATATACATTCACTAATATACTTCTGATCACCATCAAAATTTCATTTCAACAATATTCACTCATCATAAATTTCATTATTAACTTAAAAAAAGAAACCGCTCATTACTATAATGAATTAATTAAGTTAGTGTTGCTGAAAAAAAATATTATATTCATACGATAATTTTGGCTTGTGTTTTCAAACAATTTTGAGTAGATGCTAAAACTGTGATTGACGATTAGACAATCTTCGAAGGATCATTTCATGATCAACATCACTGATTCTTTCAGGCTTATCCTGCACAAATTCGCAACTCTCACGTGAGAAGATGCGGTTGAAAGAAACCATAATAAGAATGGAATGCAACAAATGAAAAGAAAAAAAAACAAAACAAAAGATGATAGACTTGATTGGTTATTTCCGTTAAAGACGTCAGCTAAAATCCATTCTCGATTAGCTCAAAAACATATCTGAGCAAATATTTGATTAACTGATCAAAAAACAAATCACTACAATTAACTCATCTAAAATCCGTATAGAAAACGACAGTGTAGAAACAGCGCATACAAGAACATTATTTATTATCTATAATCAGATGTTCATTGCACAGAATTCTGTGCAATATTGATTTTCGATCTTAACCGAAATTTATAAAACGCCTGAATAATTCAGATCACAATCACATGAAACTGAAGAATAAAAACAAGGAGAAAAAGAAAGGAGGATAGTAGAGACACAAAGATAACGAGAATTGCGAATAAAAATGAGGAATAATGTTCTACAAAATGAAGATTCTCGATAAAAATCTTGTCATCTATCATCATATGAATCATTAAGATGCCCTTCGAAATTATCAGAAAAAAGATGGGAACATGAGTTCGATCGAACAGTTCAGAAGTTTGCATCATAGCGAAAGAAATCTGTATGTTTTCACTGATAACGCACAGAAAACGCACTGCATAAGAGCACACTTTTCACGACGCACTCATTTAAGCAAAATTTAAATTCAGCAGTAGAAACGTAGTGAGTTCTCATTTGCGCACAAAATAACAGAGAGGTTACGTTTCATCAGAACAACAATAGTATAATATGATAGTTCTCTTTTCCACGACTAACAATATTTATAAAGATAAATCTGATGCGCAAGATGAAGTCAATCATCAAGCACTGAAAATTAACCGTCCTACAAGCTCTCTTTTCCGACTGTTAGAAAAAAAAAACTTTCGAAAAACTCAAATTCAAACAAGAACTCATATGAATGCGGCAATTTTTGTCTTTGTTTCAAATCAGCATTTCATTTTTTAGGGATAAACATACCAACAAATTCAACAAGAATAAAATTTCATTCGAAACGTAAATCAAGAAAATTTATAACAAAAGATGAATGATACTCTTCTACTGAACGAATAAAATTTTTTTTAAAAAGTTGAGATAAACGTACTCACCGAACATAAAATTCATTTCGATCGTGAATCCCACACTTTGGCAGTATGAAAAATAGACGAGGTATAAGGCGTAGCATGAAGCTGAGAAAAAAGCAAGTGATGTACCGTAGAGTGACACCGAATATTCAGATACGAGGCCAACACCTTAAAACGACAACGAAAAGTTTGAAACTAACAAAAAAATTGAGAAAATGAAAGAAAAAAATGATATCAATAAATCGAAAAATGAAAAGAGAATAGGAATGATCACCGATTAAATTGCATAAAACGAGTAAGAATTTGGCTACTGTGAAACGATCTGTTGCAGAAAATGCACATATTGACGAGAAGAGCAGAACGAGCAGTGATGATGATGCAGATACCAAGTTAACAGATGACACTGATAAGAACAGAAGAGATGCTTGATAAGATAGTGTACATATGATCCACTGAAAAATGTAACTCATTTCTAGCATTCATCACAGGTTAAGAATGGAGATCAAATTGGAATTCTGACAAAACACCGGAAGATGTCCTAAAAAATATTCAAGTACATATCGTCGTTTGGTGTGTCACTGGAATTAATGAGAACGTTCATAATTATGAGCAATCAACATACACCTAAAGTTATGGTTTTATCTATAGAATTTTTGCTCGTATGTCGTTTGATACACCATTCACTTCGGAACAGCGAAAAAATGAGCACTCCATAAGGACTAGATATAAGAAAGTGAAATAAACATCAAGTTATGTGAGATGCTTCATTTTCACTTTTACGGTTTACAAATTTAATTAATCCTATTAACTGAGCAACTATTCATTTTGAGTGTGTTTAACTGGAGAAGTATCGAACCATTGCACTGAAATCCAAAAAACAAAAAGCAAAATAAAACACTCACCATAGCTGAGAGGACGATATTATATTTGAACTGTGACGGAATTGACGAGCATTTACACAGACAGTCACTTGCTGCATATGGAAGTCGTGCCCGCAGTGCTTCGTCGGCCAATGATATTGGCATATGACGAACCTCACGAACCTGAATTTACCAAATGTTAACTCATTTATTAAAGGAATATTAGATATGAAGAACACTCTTTCAGAATTTATTGTTCCAATTGAGGATTTAGTCAACGAGACGGAGATTAACTCGTTCATAATTATCAATACGAACCACAACGTTTTTAAGCCACCGTTTCGATTGGCTTAAGGCAACGAATAGTAATGACTTGTATATTTTCCGTTGCAGATTAAGGTGACAACAAACCTGAGCGAACCGAACTCTTCGCGCTGCATCCGAAACCCTTTCAAAATCACTTTCTTCACTCATGGTTACCTGTTCGAATTCAGCTGGAGTCTGAAACTCGTTCATCTCGTTCTTCTTAATTGCGTCTTAATCCAATATCAGTTAATTCAGTGGCATCGAGAGGTTTCATTACAATGCCACTAATCGAACTAGAATGAACATTCTAATAGGTTAACACACTTGCTGACTCTCGAAAATGTCCCCAAGAAAATATCATACATCGAACGATACATCGTAAAGGTTGAAAACGGCAGAAGAAAAGACTGAGAAGCACAGAAATACTATGCATAATAGAACGGCAGAATAAATTCTACTTTTGATGCAAGGCTCGAAAGAACCTAAAACTCACCAGTGATTCGACTTCATCGACGTCTCCATCAGAGACGTTCACTAACTTGTCATAACCCTTCTGCTGAAATAAAATCGAATAAAATAATACTTTTATCATTTCATGGTCACACTGAACGAATCATCAGTCAAATAAGTATGAAGTTTCCTCTTGATGCTAACTTTCTGCAACAATATGAATGGTCTGTTGCAGTCATAAATACATAAAGCTGTTTTTGTTGAAATGCTTCGTAACCAAAATGAGAATTTAAAAAAATGATGGTTACTATAAAGAAATTAAGAGAAAAAAACTTCATTAGAGCCGTGAAATTACGACGTTCTCAATGAAATGAGACAAGAAGAAGGCTCTGAGGCAAAAATAAACCACCTCATTCGCTTCTCTTGAACATTGCTTTTTGAAAAAATACCTCATCATGTATATGGTTAACATGCATAACTTCGTATATGTCATTAGAAAAGGCCGTTTGAAATTGAGATCAATGAAGATGAACTGCAATAATGTTTAAAGTAATTGTGATTACAAATGAATCACATCAGTTATAATTAAAGTAATTGTGATTCCAAGTGAATCACATCAGTTGATACACCACTTGGTTTCGAGCAAAACTTTCTTCTGCGAACGGAAGTTGAACCCGTGACGTACAAAGTTGCCGAGCCTGAGCCAGGTTATGATTTGTCTAACATCTACTGATCTAATTCGAGATAGAAAATGCTTACTCGAGATATTTCAGCGGCTGCGACCCAGCAAATATTCACAATAAATAGCAAGAAGAGACCAAAAAAATGACGACGCCTCGAGAGCTCATGGACAACTTTTCGTTCCATTCCTTAAGTCCACATTACTTCAAGTATAAATTTACAAATTAATAACGAATCAATGCGATGATTACATCGAGTGTATGAAGAAGAAAAAACAATAAGCAATCTTTAAATTTAAAATTATTCTGGTGGTTTTATTCTTTTTATTTTTAGAAATAAAATGACTGAATGGATAACTGATTACTGTTTTCAACGATACGTTTACTTGCTGAACAATAACCATTAACTAGTTTCGATGTCTAATTACAGTTTCATGCATTTGTTGAAGGCTACCTGCAGAGTACAGATAAATTCGGCCCATCAATTAGAATGCTTTGTCTGCATTCTACAGGCTTTATGGAATAAAAGACAGTCAACAGCGGTAATGTTGCATTTCAGGTTGGTAAAATTACAACAGCATTTCGTTCGTGCGAACATTTCTTGCTGTGCTTTAAGTAACATATTCAACTGCGGGTATGAAAGAAATGCCGCTTTGATTTTACCAACCTAAAAGACAAAATTACCTCAAAAGCTAGTGTGAATCGTCATCCAAGCACTGATCCAGGTTATCACAGAAAGCAGCAAACTTTTTATTGCCATCTACGACTGTGTAGAACAAATTTGCATTGTTAATTCACGCTTTTCATTTGTAATCGCTCATTGTGCCACTCAAGGCTAATGTAACGAGAGACACAGGCAGTTGAACGTGGAAAACATAGGGCATACACACAGTTCGCCAACTCGCAATTTTATGTGCTAGGCGTTTAGAAATGTGATTTTCTTACCAGTTAAGCGGGAATAAGTCCGAGCAATTTATAGATAGTTTTATAGCGCCGGTCCAGGAGAATAAAGACATACTCGAGATTTTCTGTTCGGCTTGAAGTACAAAAGATCAAGAAATAATTGA